TCCCTACTCTAGTGATGAGTGGTAAGAAATTTTCATCAGCCAGGGGCAGCCAAACTGATACAATGTCATGATCTGAGTATCATATTCTGAATTTAGTAATGTTTGAATCCCTGTAAAGATGAGCAACTGGTACTGACACATCCCATCATGTGAACAGGAAAACTTGAAAGGCCTATAGTTAGTGATAACACAGTTTATAAGTAAGACAAGGATCTTGTATTATGAATCCTGGTGTTTTTGTGCAGAACACAGCTCACATATGACATGATAGTTTTTTGGATTATGCTACTAAATTTTAAAGCTGTCATGTTAAGAGAAAAATTTTCTTTTTGAAAGGTTTCTTAGGGCAGTTGCACATCAGGCAAGTAGTGAAGTTTGTGTGGGGCTATACCTGTAGTTCAACACTGACCGCAACCTCGTTCCCAGGGTCTCTCCTCGAAAGAGAGTTCGCAAGATGATTGTGTCGCAAGATGATTGTGTTGCAAAATTGGAGCTGTTGCTTTCATCAGAAGACATAATTTTGAACAAAAAACTGCCTAGTATAAGCCTTTGATAATATTAATTTCTCCTTCGTGAAAGAAGCGTGTTGAGTAAATGACGTCACATCTGGCTAAGAAATCGACACCTTGCTAATTCACGAAAAATTTGCATGTTTGCGTTGAAAAGGCAGAAAGAAATGGAATTGGACCCTGATATTTGGTAACTTTGTTTATCTACTCATATACTTTCTGAATATACAATAAAAAGACAGCACAATTTTCCATCGCAGTTGCACTTTAATGAAAGGAAACCAGTTCATGTTTTTAGGCAAAAAGTTTAAAGCAACAAAATTCGTAAACATACTAAACATTAAATATTCAAAGCAAACTTGCCGTATATTTCACGATTTCCCATAGTAAATCAATTCTCATTTCTTCAAACAAAATGGCTTCAAGCTTGTTGTGTATGAAACCATTTTCCAAATATATGTCCTTTAAAATTGAAATCTTGCTCATCCCACTCCTACAAGCAATCAGCCATATTTTTCAGATCAGTGAGGGAGACCACCCACTCAACATCATTGGTGACCAACGCCCGCGCTCATTGATGAACTTTAGACTTGGCTAATGCTTTCGTTTGCCAGGGTGTAAATAGCCGGGGGAATTAGTACCCTTGCCTGGGCTTACGCCGCTGTTGGCTCGGGATAATAATAAATAAATAAACTATGGGGAATGTTTTGAAAAAGCTCTTGACTAATTGTTATATTTAATATGATTTATATTAATACTATTTAGGAATTTTTTATGTCTTATCAAATGGGCAGGATAGTCCTTGCAATCCAGTACATGGGAGCCATCTGAACACCTATCCAATGATTTGTTGTGCAATACTTTTTAGCTTAAACATCATTCAGGATGTTTATAATGACTATATCTCGGGGTTATGAATATATCTAGGGGTTATGAAAGACCACCCAAACCCACCAAACTGTGACAGATATGTTACAGGGCCAAATTCCTATATGTTGCAGATATGTGACAGATACTTTCGTACATATATTTTGCAGATATTTTACAGAACTGTGACATATATCTACCACATATCTGTCAGTTTGGTAAGGGTGTAGACCATTACAACCCAATACTTTAATGCATACAATGGCATTACAATGCCAATAGATTATTGGTTACAATGTGCAGAACAGCTGAAATACGTTGTTTTTAAAACTATACTGCAGGCTTGTAGCCTATCTGCTTAACACTACGTGTAATACACAGTATATTGGCCTAATATAAAAACATGGTCATATGATTTTTTACTACAAACGTTTGTTGATCGACTTTCTTCTATGTTTCTTCGGTTTATACTGAAGAAGTTATGCCACCAACAAGAGCTAGAGTTTCAGCAGAATGCGAATATAATGCGATTTATGGAAGATAATGACAACAGTGGCAGTGGTGATGGTGAAATGAGTGATGTTGAAAATGATTTGGATAGTTTATATGAGGAGACAGGTCACTAAGGTCAGTGCAGTTGTATGTCTTTTTATATGGTCAGAAATGCCAAGCTTGTAAATAAAAATAGTGGTGTTTATGGACATCAGAGGTATGCCATAAACATAAAAGTATGTCTTTTGAATTGTAGAAAAATTCCCAAAAATATCACATCCAAAATCTATTAACTAAAAAGAATCAAAATGGGTAACATATTAGCATTTTGTGGATAGGTGGTCGTATTGAATGGGGCCACAAGGCAGCATTTTGGATGTGAATTTCACTTTTTTATTATTTTTAGGTTAAAAAAAGATAAAACTTACAAAAATAAAACTAATAGGATAATGGCAATTAATGGATAGAATTTCTGAGGGGTGTGCACATTCTTTGATGTCCTCAATTGAGTGACCATGTTCAGTTTCCCATGCAGTAGCAGGGGTGGAAAAAATATTTTGTTTTCTGGGACTGCAAGAGAACATTGAAAATTTTCTGCAAATAATCAAGTATCTTGACACTCGGACTGTAACTATGTGGTGTTGTCAAACTGAATTTTGAATTTTAGATGTCTGGAATGGCTATTTCCTGTGATTTCACAGATATATCCAAAGGGAACAACAAAATTTGTGTCGTTAGGGAAGCCTCACATATAGATTTTGTCAATGAGAAACGTCAAGGAGACCCCACCACCACCACCACCAAGAAATGTCACACATAGTTATTGATATTTTGTTCTTATAGTACACATAAGGTAGTTTTCTACTATTTTCTACAGTCGGCTATTGGCAATGCTTCGGCAAGAAATGTTGGTGATATATGTTTTTTATTGATACACATCAACTCTCAAAACAATGTTTGTTGCATAAAATATTAACAATGATTTTGGCACTTTTTCAATGTGTTTTTTTCTTCTTGAAATTTGAGTGTTTGCAATGGAAGGAAGGCATACTAATATAAATGTATAGAACAGGTATGGTATTACGAATGTATAGACTGATGTTTGTATGAAGTTGTTTTGTTTTTCGAGAAAAGTATCGAATTTTTTCATGATGTTTTACAGAGAAACGTCAAAGCAGCAACCCCCCAAACGAACATATGATGTTTCTCGGGTACAAAATCGATGTGAGGCTTCCCTTAGAGCAGTGGCGGCGCCAGGCTTCCAAATTTGGGGGGGCATTTGAGGGGCAAACTCAAATTTGGGGGGGGCAAGATAGAATTTTTAAAAAGGTCGCCCCCCCAGGAAATTCGCCCCCCCCCTCAAAACGTGGCGATATTCCTAGGAATATTGCCCCCGGGGGCGAATATCCTAGGAATATCGCCTCCCAGGGGGTGGAGCGAATACCCTAGGAATATCGCCCCTTTTTAGGACATTCGCCCCCCATATATGCGATGTGGTTTATCCAAATAATTTCGTGATACTTTCATCTTATTATTGCCTTACACGTTTGAGAATTTAACTCTGCAAAACTAAAGCTTTTTTGTCTTTTTTTTAAACGTATTATTGGAGTATTGGCAAGTTTTACCATTCAGAGATTTACAAACTAATATTGAAACTGTAAAAAACAGTTTCATGTATACGCGCATTCACTAATGAGTAATGACAACTTATAAGCCATACATTTTCCGATAACGACAGAACGCTTGTGTAGCCTTTTGTCGCTCTTAGTGACTATTAATTTTTTTTGAGGGGGGGCAAAATGGGGGGGCAAAAAATAATTGGGGGGGGGCATTTGCCCCCCCCCTGGCGCCGCCACTGTCCAAATGGCCATTCTGCCACGGATCACTGATTAAGCATTGGGGAAAAGGAAGGTCCATTGTTTCCAAATGAAACACGGAAATGGATCCGCAGCAAAAAGCCACAAGGATGGGAAGCAGAAGGGTGGGAGGTTGGGCGTTTGTACAACATACCAGAGTAAAAACAACACCCTGACGCAGCCCCCTCCTTCTCGCCCCCCCCCCCCCCCCCCCCCCCCCCCCCCTCCCTTCTCCGTTCCTAATTTCTTTATCTTGCACTTTCTCTGTCGTGGCGATCAGCACAGAAAGAGCAGTTACAACATGTAAACTAGGGTTTTATGCATTGTACATCATTATTTATTCATTAAACAACGTTAATTACTCAAACTTCCGTGGCGTGTTTGGCCAATTTGAATAGTGCAATATTATTAAACTATTTTTTTGTCATTCAGGAGTTCAAATCCAAGATGTCCTACAGATGGTACAGTACTCCGAGAAGAACAAGTGAGTGGTTCGCATTTACATATTTATATTCAAACATATTTGTTCCAAAAGTGGTACGCTAATTGATGGCAGCGGGCATAATACTCAAATGTTTGGTTACCTTATTCCATCATTTCCATGGTATGCTTACATTATCAGAACAGTGGTAATTACAATTGTGGACGTAGCGCTTGAGACCATTCCTGTCAACATTGCAAAGTTGATTTACGCTGACAAAACAAAGGTCATCACGCTTTCTTCCCTAGTTCAATGTTGTGCACATCCCCGCAATAACTTTTGGTAATTTACCACGACACAAGCTCAACATTCGGTTGGGGAGTTTTCCATCAATCTCTGCTCTCAGATTATCAGTCGAATTTAATTTTGTTGCAACTGTCATAAACGTGTATATTAGCTGGATTTGAACTCGGAGAACAGCGAACTTATGCAAACGACATTTTTTGTCAAACTGTGTTTATGTCAGTTTGTGGTATAACCTTCAACACATATGACAAAACCTAAGATTTTTAGAGTTTTTTTCCTTCCTTACACGAGCGCTATGATGCAAAGTTATTTTACCAATTTTTGGGTGACGTTCTTGTTGACAAAACGTCGCTTCCTTAAGGTCATGATTCATTAGTAATTGTTTTGGGGTGAATTTGAGGGGTGACGTTTGTGATATGCTCGTAGTAAAAACAGAAAAAAAAGTTGGGGTCACCGAACTCGTATCGAAGATATGACATAAGACGCCATCTTGACCCTTTTGCAATGCAAGTTATAGGAACAATCGCAATTCAACCCTTACTGAATTTTTTAACAAGGATCCTACTAATAATGTCAATATAGTGATTATATACACGAAAACATAGTTATATCGTATTAAAAGCGATTGACGAGCATTGTCGTGTCGGAAAGACGTCTTTTCCCATCTTCTCAGACATATTATTTTGGGAAGCATGCGCGAAAAATGCAAAATATTACAAGTTGTAGAAATGATTTTTCTCTTGTTTTCTGATATGACATGTGAAACGTATGGAAGAACAAAAATATATAAAATAAAAGAGTAGGACCATGGACCTTCTTGAAGAGATACAAGGGTTAAACATGCATCATGATGTGTTTAGTGTTAGTTGCACATGCAGGGAGCCCTTCTGTCATTTTTGAAGGTATATATTTTCTGAAGCACGCCCATAATCAATGCAGAGTGTTTTTCTCTTTGCCCTTACTCTTTCTTTATTATTTTACATTGCAGTTCGACCGACACCGCGGAAAAAGTCTGCGCATGCACCAAATTATGAAAATATGGCGCGGAATTTGAATATCAATTTCTAAAACAAAAACATGCTTATTAATTGGTCAAAAATTAGTAAAACAAACGAGAAAATATAACAAATGGGTAGACTAGACATTAATTGAAAGCGTCCTGGCATTTAAAGTATGGAATGAAATATAATTCATGTAAAAAATTGCTGATTTTAACGGACACGACTTCGAACATTTTTGCAAAATTATTCAAAACAAAAATTCAAACTCAAAAGTTAAGAAAACTCTCGAAAAGTTAAGCCTCTTAACCCACTCAAATTGTAGAATAAATCCTAAAGTTTAATTATTGTGAACAAGAAAATTTTTTATATTTGGCGACACAGTTTTTTTTAAAGAAATGTATCTCAAACGAAAATTCGGAAATTGTCGTTGCTTAGTTGATAAACAAAATGTTTCAGACGATAAATTTGTCAACAATCACCTTTAGTTCATGTTCTTGTACAATACAACTTCTTGAACCTTCTGGTTGTATTTATTCCTAGTTTTTAGAATGACATGTTTATTTTTGCGCTCGAAATCTGGCTGTAAAGACGCACAATGAAGTCACTCCTTTTTACCGCCATTTTGAGCCTTCGGAAACGTTCGGAACAGCTTCTCATCAATACTATTACAGGTAAGGTTGACGCATGCGCAGACGTTTTTCCGCGGTGTTAGTTCGACCACATACATTAGCTAGAATTTGTTATTAGATATGCGCAGTAAACTACAGCAAAAGTGCGCAATGCAAAACTGATGAATGACCTTAAGCTCACTATTTATAGTTAAACAATAACTCAAACCTTTGGGATTTGTCGACATTAATTTCTTTCAGGTGTTCCCCGATGTTTTCACTAAGCGTGAGCTCAATGGATTACATTTGCATTGTACCAACCAAGGCTGTCCTTGGTATGGCACTTATGAAGCACTCGGGGTGAGTTGGGGTGGTAAGAAGGAGAGAGGCAATCTCGTTCCCTGAGCCTGCGATCCTCGGGAAGGAAAGCAAGGCTCTGGGATAATCCGTTGCCAGAAGCCAGGAATCCTGGCTAAGATTGAACTGCGCATTCCATATCAACGGCCAATCAGATTCCTCCCTGAAACGAATTATCCCATAGCCTCGCGTTTCTTCCCGAGGATCGCAGGCTCGGGGAACGAGATTGGGAGAGAGGAGGAACAAAGGTGAAAATAATTTGACGATGTTAGCGCGCTGTCGCTTGCCTCCGATCTAAGCTTGCCACTGTAGATTAAGGATAAGGGACTTACTTAGCCAGTTTGCAGAGTGAGGATTGTTCACTATTCTGTTGCACGAAGATGACGAGCCCTAGAGACCGTAACCATTTCTTTGTAATTTAGGGACATTCTGCTGTCTGTGAACATGCTTTGATAAACTGTGTCCATTTCCAATGCAATATGAAATTCCAACGCTCTCATCAAGGTGAACACTTGAAAAGTGACTGTGAATATCGGAATGTGAAGTGTGATTTTTGTGGGAAGGATGTCATCTTTGCCTCGATGAAAGTAAGTTAAAATTATAGTAACTTTTGAGAACAGTTTGAACAATCCAGCATGCATGTCGCGTCGTCTTATGTAATTAACCTCAAACCTTATAATTATCCTTGAACCAGTACGGTATACTCATTTTTACTCACTGTTCATCTAGGAACATGTTGATACGATTTGTGAAGATGCACCCGTCACTTGCAGATACTGTAAGAAAGATGTTATAAGAAAAGACATTGAAAGACACGAGAGACGCGATTGCAATGAGGCTCCGGCGACTTGTGAGTATCAAGATGTAGGATGCAACCACGATAAGGTAATAGTTACTTGCTGTATTCGTTGACACACGCAGGTTTTCTCCCGATAATTCTGTTTCAGTTCTTCCTATTGTAACTTTGCACCAATATAGGATGTCGCTTCGTCTTATTAGAGCTATCCAGTATAAGCTTTCTCTACGCGTACTGACTGTGATGATCGCAATGGACAGTAAGGGATGAGTAGTACAAATGGATAAAATACAAAACAATAATAGATACTCCGAAAATTGAAAGCATTTTGAAAAATTTATTTCGACGTTTCGACTAAACTATAGTCATCATTACCTGATGATGACTATAGTTTAGTCGAAACGTCGAAATAAATTATTCAAAATGCTTTCAATTTTCGGAGTATCTATTGTTTTGTATTTTATCAAAATACTCAGTGGTTCCCGTAACAAATGGATAAGATTTACCTCATTTAAACAGCACCAATTGCCTCAGAACTCTTTTTCATTATTCTACTAGGATGGCCCTTACTGGACCTCTAGCCAGTCTGTGGTTTAAATAGTATAAAGTTATTTTAGGTTTCCTAGGAACAAAGCCAATCTATTCATACTTGTGGTTTTGTTGTTTGTAAAAAGTTAAAAAATGCATTGCAAAATCTTGAATTTTTAACTTCACAACTTTGAAAATTATCTTCCGAGGCTTCGAAATGCAATTTTTTTTTGGGGGGGGGTGGCATGCCCCCAGTCCCCTTCTCTTAAATGAACGCACCAATAACAATTTGCTTACGACGGCATTGCTTACTGGAACAGAAGGAAGAACAGTTTACAAGTTTTAATGAGGTTGGCAGTTATAAGTAATGAGAGATCGTTTCGGATTTGTTTATGTATTTAATAGTTAAGATTAAGTTTCAATAAAATAAATATACTTCGAAAGGATACTGTATATACACGTAACAACGCACAAGTTATTGCAGACTGCAAACAAGTTGCTAGAAATCTCTTAACAAGTTGTCGACAAGTTGTGTTCGCACTCCTTGTTCCCAGTTGTTGTAACAAGTTTGGAACAAGCTGTTAACAACTTGTAACAAGCTAGCTTGCAATTGATAGCATTATCAGACTTGTTACAAGGCTGTTCTAACAAATCTGATACAGTCATGATATAAGAAGATCGAGAATGTTACAAGGTTGGCAGTATTGTTATATCATGGCTGTATCGGACCTGTTGGAACAACCTTGCAACGACAAACGAATCCAGCAATATCAACAATGTTGTTACAAGTTGTTAGCAAGTTGTTCCATACAACATGACAACTTGGAACAACTAATAGGAGTACAACGTGTAGACAGCCTGCTGGCAGACGTGCTACAAGATGTGAGCTTTTTACGCGTGTAGATAAGCAAATGTTCAACTGCTTAACTTACAAACGTTCAACTCCCCAATAGTCTTCTATAAGTTATTATTTGGCAAATATTTGCCATTCATTTTTTATACAATTTGTAGACTTTGAAGCGAAAGGAACAGCGCCAACATTTGAATGATGGATTGATAGATCATAGTGGACAACTACTACGGTATACTCTCGCCATTGCTTCTCAACTGAACGACTTCATCCCACGTCCAGAATATACAGGCATGTCGCAGAAAATCCAAGACGACATCACTGAGGTTCGCGCAGGCTTGGCCGAGAAATTCGTCATGG